ATAGAATTCACCATTCCTCTTTAATCTTTTTCTTTATCTAGGAACAATATTTTAATCAAGATTTTCACATTGAATAGCTGATTATTATGTTATAAACTGTAAAACSTTTATGTTTTAATCATACCTAATATTTTTTTAACAATTTATTATTTAATTATACATTTAAAAATAATTTTCAATAATTTTGAACATTATTTTTATAATACCCAACTAAAATTTTAAAATTATTCTTACCTCTGGCATAACCTTTTTGACTAAAATGGAAACAATCACTTGCCAAATACGTTGTATCTGTGGTATTAAGTCGATTTAATGGAAATTTCAGRTTTTCTGAAAATGTTTGAAGAACAACTGTAAAATCATCTTTATTCTTCATTTCTTCATTTTCCATCTTAAAATAAGAATATTTAAACAATTAATTTATATGTATGAAGATAAATATTATAATTGGAAAGGGAGGTAAATGGTAATAATTTTCAAATTAACGTCATAAAAATAATATATGAACATTTTTCTTAAAACACATGCTCTACTAGAATGTTTATTTTTTTTTTTAGCTAATGACATTGACTGGTGGCAAAGATGACAAGAAACATTTTTTTTTTTTAGAAGCACAATTAAAAAGAAAAAAGGCACTAAAAACACTTCTATTTTTATAATTATTTACTGATTTCAGTCCTGGGTTTCTCATTTTATCCGAATTCAGCATAATTATATTAATATTTTTAAGATGTATAATAAATGTACACTTATAATATTATTATAGGTAAATGTTAGTCCCTAGACGAGATCTAGMAAACAATATAAACATAAAATATGTTAGTTCCTACACGGTAACTATAATAGTTCCTATACAGCTGTGGTCGACGGTAATAGTGAGCGTCTTGAAATTTCAAGGATCGATTTAATCAAAAAAGTGAAAATTTAGATAAATTCAGTTTTAATCATGATAATATTATATACTAAAATTTTTTAAATTAAATTTTTTTTTTATAKTCTTCAATCATTTAATTATCACACGTCTTAAATTAATTAATTCATGAGCTTGAGTTTTTGTTTTAGAATATTTGAATGATAAATTTTGATTAAGTTTTGTTGCCAACTTTAATGTAAAATCACATACCTAAACGTTACATATAAAAATAATCTTACTATTTCTTTCTCCACTTCTTGAAACTGTTTCATTACTTTTATATAATCTGACAATTTATGTTTATACTGTGTCGAATATAAACATGGACACTCTAARATGTGAGTATAAAAACAAATTCCCGGCAAATTTGTGAAATTTAGTAAAATTTCTAAATCTATAAAACACATAAAAAATATTAAATTTAGATTATTATTTTTATAATTTTACATTATCTTTTACTAATGAATAATGATACAGTTATACTAGAGTTACGAACATATTCATTAATTATTATTTAAAACATAAATTCATGATATGGTTCGTATAAAATATTTGTTAGGTAACATAAACTCATATATTATGTGTTACCAATTCGTTAAAACAAAGGATTTGTTATGTTTGATGGATTTTATATTCGAAATACAAAGGTAGGTATTTAAATAAAATATTTTAATCTATCAGTATCTATTTAATAATATTATACTATATATATATAATATRTATATATAAGTGCTATTATTTGTATAAATTTATTGTATACGTGTGGTACGTAAGTTAATATTTTATACCACTAGAGTGCATTACTATGGTAGAAACGAGAAATTTAAATTTAAAATAATTCTTAAGTCACTAAAGAAATTGTATAATACACCCGCAAGAGGAAAAAAATATTATTTAAAAATACTTATACAATTATTCATGGAAATTATTCTACGATACGTTTTTTTTTTAATTTACTGAGGGTAGTTCTAGTCAGTCTAATCTCATACGTTTTAACTATCTATCCAGAACCCTTATTCAGAACTTAAATATTTATTTATTTATTTATTGGATTTACTGTTCATTTCATAAAATATTTCTATCATTCAAAGTTTTATGCTAGCCATCACCAAGTAAATCAAAAACTAATCTTTTACAGAGTTAATAAAATCTTTACCCAGTTTAATATTTTTTACAAGCACACGATAGAAATATTGATAATTTATGAAAATATTAGTTGTTATTTTGATAGTTATTAAAATAATTATTTAATATTCGAAAGTCATAAAAAAGCTTATACATTATTGATAAAAAAAAATTACAAAATGTCAATACAATATTTTGTTTATAAGCACGTTTATATTTAAAGAAAAGTTTCCATGCATGGTTAATATTTGTTGATTAGTTTCAATAAAATTATTTTGTTATTTTTTTTTAAATATTCAATTTATGTTACTTGGACTTAAAACAAAGTTGACTATAGTTCGAGGCAAATTTTCTTTTATATACAGTAATGCATTTAAAACTTCTTGTCTATGTTTTTCAGCATACGTAGTATAATCTTCGTAACATAACTCTAAGCAAAATGTATTTGAACTCATCATCATTGTTACTAACTGTTAAGACAAATCATTTTTTAAATTTTACGTCATGAAAAAATAATATATATATATTAGTCTTACTTTCCAGTCTTCGGTTATATTAACTCTCTTATCCATTTTGATTCTTTTCACCAATTCTCTTGTCATAAATGGTAGGTCTCTACTAAGTGCACCGACTTCAGCTACGTTAAATTGAGAAAAACGCTGTTCAGCCAATGCATCGTCATACGCATACCCAATCAATTTAGGATTAAAGACTTTCAAGATATTTGGTAAAGTTAAAAATTCTCTCCATGTACCTTTTCCACCTGATAAAAATAATTATTACAAGCARTTAAATAATTTACAAGATAAATCAATATTTAATTATTTCATGTATTATTATGTTTCTTTGTAATTAATTAAAAATAATACCAGCTGTCCATGATGTTCCACGATGATCGACGACTAATTGTGGTAAAAAATACGAAAAACTTCCCGTCCCAACTGTCAATGAATCCCCGACACTGCCGATTACATCTAAGTCACCGGGTCTTAATTCATGTACAGATGTTGGCCTCGTTTCAGATCTAGTGCCATTGATATTACAAAAAAATTGTGTTGATTTCAGAACTCGTTCTTGTGTTTTCTGAAAAAAAAAAAAAAAACATGGAACGTCTTAAGTCTAAAATACCATTGATGATAGTGCTCGTATCTCGAATGAAATTAACTTTATACGAACATGTAGCATTCGAGATTTGTCTATTTGATGCTGTGAGCTGAACATGTTTTGTAAAAAAAGCCTAGTAGGATATAAAATTTTGTCTTGAAGCTGTATAACGGATTTTGGTATACCCGTCAAATTATCATTAGATATCTGATGTGTCCATTTCGGTGATTGAAAGATTGGTCTCCAAGTCAATGTTACAGTACAACACCACAAAAAGCACACG